ATTGTTACTTCACGTGGTGTTCCCTATTTTCTGGTGTTTTTCTTCGTCTCAACAGCACTCACCACCACGCCCCAGGTCTGCTTGGTTTAGCAGCCTGGAGACTCTGCCTACCCCTCTCTCTCTGTTCTACTCCTTCCCTCACATCACTCCTTCTTTCTCTCTTGCTGTCTTATTCATCTTTCTCTCTTCTTATTCTCTCTTGTGAATAATATTCTTTGGCGACTTTTCTTATCACTCGTGTTGTACTGCTGCTGTTCATCATGGCACAGCATGACAAGTTCGAGTCTTTCTCTCGGAGGAACGCAGCCATTTGCTTTCCTCCACCCGAGATCGACCTCGAGGTCGTCATTGCCGCGGTGGTCGACCGCATCGGCCTGGCAGGCATCCTCATTGCCCAGCGACAGAACCGCGGCATGGTCGTCTACATGACCGAGGAGAGTTTGGCGGCGCGCCTCGTGGAGACGGGACTTGGCATCAAGGGGGAGCTGTTCGTGCAGTGCACCCCTCTTTCTTCACCCGCCGTCAAAGTGCTGATCTTCAACGTGCCACCCTTCCTCAAAAGCACCGAAATGCAGCGAGGACACGGGACCCAAAGCTGGCACACATCATGTTGCTCCGGCGACAAACATTCATGATCCTGAAGGACACAAACACGGACCTCAACGTGACCTTCAAGTACACGATTGAGGGCTACGTCTACACCGTGTACGCTTCCACGGCCGTGCCGCGGTGTTTCGGGTGCGGTGGTGCCGGCCACGCCCGGAAAAATTGCCAAGGAAAAGGAAAATGCTGCTCAGCCTGCACCAACACACACAGTGCAGCAGCAGAAGCCGCCGCAGCAGCAGAAGCAGCAGCAGCAGGACCCTGCTGACTCTGCGGCTGACCACGCAAAGTCAGCGACTGACGGCGAGTGGGATGGCTTCACCATCGCAAAAGCGCAAGGCTAAGGGTAGCCCCGCAGCGGGAGGGCGCGTTGGCACCCTTCCTAAGCGCACGGCCACCGCGGATGACAACAACAAGCCGGACGACTTCCCAGACGCTGCAGCAGGGCGTGGCGACGAGCCCGAGCCACGGGACGTGGCGAACGCCGCTGACGAGGCCCACCCAACGGACGATGCCGAGACAGAGGGACGACCACCGGACCCGGCCTCGGCTGAATGACAAGGGGGGCTGCAGACGACCGCTGCACCTTACGGTGCCACGGCACTCGAGGGTGATGGTCGACCCACCTCCTCATCCAACGAGGTGAAGGCTGCAGAGCCCGCAGAGGAGAGCCACCCCGAGCCCGAGGAGACCACGGCTCTGTGTGGCTCGACGGAAGAGGTGGCCGCCGAGCCTCACGCGAGCACGCAGGAAGACTTTGACGATGAGCAGTCGGAGTCTGATGTCGAAGATAACGTGAGCAAGATGAGCTTCTCGCAAGTTAAGGGGGAGCAGGAATATGCACCCAACGAGATCCTCCACTTCCTCCAATCTACCTACAGGACGCGTGGGGTCAGCGTACAGGCATTTTTTCCCGATATGCTGGGCTTCTTGAAAGCCGCACAGAAGATATATTGTGAGCCATAAAAGTTTGCGTTCAGCCTGCAGGAATGCTACCAACTGAAAGCGTTGGTGCAAAAAGTGAAGTGATCCCCTGCAGCCACTGCCAACACCTAATGCCATGGCTTTGGGTGTCAAGATAGCAAGTTTGAACTGCAACAGTGCCCGCAGTGACAAGAGGTGGCACCGCGTCTGTTGTTTTCTCAACGACCAAAAGGCGGACGTAACTTTCCTGAAAGAAATGCACCTTGACGCCAGTCTGCAGTCTCAGCGTCAGCACCTCATAGGCAGCCAGTCCTTCTTCAGCCACGGCGAAGAAAACCTCGCTGGAGTCGCGATCGTGTTTGATCCAAAGTTTATTCCTGAGAGCGTGGTCTTTAAAGAGGTCGTGATAGGACATTTGATCTCCGTGGACTTTGTGTTCAAGAACACGAGGCTGCGGTGCTTCAACTTGTACGCGCTGAGCAGGAGCTGCGAGAGGAAGCTCTTCTTCTCTGGCACGCTGCGGGACGCCCTGGAGGCAGACGATGCGGACAACGTGCTCACGATCGTCGGGGGTGATTTCAACAGCACCTTCGACCTGGCTCTCGACTGCAACAGCGCTGAGCCTCACCCAGAATCTGCACGGGCGTTAGCCGACATAGTGCAGCGACTGGATCTGCTCGACACGTGATGACTGCAACATCCGGCCCAGCGGCAGTACTCTTGGTGCTGCTCTGGCTCTCAAGGGAGGATAAGCCTCGCCAGGTTGGATCGACTCTACATCAACGCTCGCAGTGCGAACCTGCTCGGTGACAGCAAAATTGTCCCATCTGGGTTCTCTGATCACCACCTGGTCTCCGTGCTGCTGCGAGTGCCCAGAGAGAAGCGTCGCAGTGCACGCTGGAAACTTGACGTGCAGCTGCTCGAAGACAAAGGCTTTAAAGAGACATTCAAGGCCTGTTGGGCTCACTGGGTGACCACCAGAATCAGCTTCAGCTCTAGCCAGCGATGGTGGGAAAACACAAGGCACAGATCAGGGCTCTCTGTCTACAGCTTGTGAGCCAGCATGCCACCGCCAAGGAGGAGGCGGTACAACACTTACAGAGCGAGCTGCTGCTACTCGAGGTGGAGCTGAGCTCATCCCAGAACGCGCACAACAACAAGGGTGAGGTGCTGCTAGAGAAGCAGCGGCTCTTCAGGGCTGTCACGGACCAGCAGGCGCATAGCGCATTTGTTTACAAAAAGATGCAGCACCTGTCACACATGGACTCTCCCTCCAAATATTTCTTTAGATTACAAAACAAACAACAACAAAACAAACAACACCATTTTAAGTTTACAAACCCCAAAGGGAGAGACAGCCACAGCTGAGGGTGAAATTGCTAAGATTGCGAGGGAATTTTATTCCAATTTGTTCAAAGCTGAAGGCATACATGACAAGGGCTGTCCAAGAACTGCTAGATGGGGGCCCTACCTTAGGGGACTCTGAGAGCAAGTGTCTGGAAAGCCCCATCACCCTGGAGGAGCTCCACACCGCCATGAAAGGACTCGCAAAGCCCAGGGATTGATGGCCTGCCAGTGGAGTTTTACGCGGCCTTCATGGATGAGCTCGGCCCCCGCCTGCTGTAGTTGATGACAGAGCCTGCAGAAGGGGGAACTTCCGCAGAGCTGCAGGAGAGCGGTAGTCACCATGCTGCCTAAGAGGGGGGACCTGCGCTGCATCGAAAACTAGCAACCTGTGTCCCTCTTGTGCGCTGACTATAAAATATTCGCCAAGTTCTGGCCAGCCGTCTCAAAACGGTGGTGGGTCAGCTCGCCCAACTCGACCAGTCATATTGCATCCCTGGCCGGTGCATTTATGACAACATCAGCATGGTCAGGGATGTAATCTCTCTCGTGGAAAAGCACAACACGGACTTAGGCCTCCTCTTCGTGGACCAGGAAAAGGCGTTCGACAGAGTGAGCCACGCGTACCTGGGGAAACTGCTCGTCTCACTCGGGTTCGGTCAGAATTTCATATCACATGTACAACTCCTGTACACGGGCACATCCAGCTTTATAAAATAAACCAACGTCTTGGCATACCTTTTCCCGTGATGAGGGGGTCAGGCAAGGACGCCTCGCTCCGTAATGTTCTTCAGCGGGCGAGTGCTCATAGGAAATAACCTGGTAGCCTCTGTGTTGTGACATAGGGCCAAAGTCCTCCAGCTCCCAGACTGGCTACTCACGAGGACAAACCGGTCACTCACCCACTTTGTGTGGTACGGCAAGCACTGGCCGAGGCCAGGGGTCCTCTGCCTGCCGGTGGGTGAGGGCGGCCAGGGCCTGGTGGATGTCTCCGCCAGGGTCATGAGCTTCAGGCTTCAGGCCGTGAGGCGTCTGCTGCATGACCAGGAGGAGCTGCCCTGGACGTCTCCGGCCCTCAGCCTGTTGAAAGACGTGGGGGGGGGGGGGGGGGGGGGTGCCTGGGGAACGGAAGGGAGATTTTCCTGTTGGACCTGGCTCTAGTCGACTACACAAGGCTGCCAGGGTATTATCAAAGCCTCTTAGACGCGTCGCGGAACCTTGAATGGAGCAGGGCGAGCCCGCACTGTGCCCTCAAACATTTCATACACGAACCCCTGTTCTGTAATAGCCTCTTCAAAGGAATAAGGGAAGAGAGAACGCTGGCCCTCCGTTTCACCTCGGCAGGGGTGCGGACGGTCGGCGACCTTGTAAAGAGCCACAACCGTCACCCCAAGTGGAAGACCGTGGCCGAGATCAGCGGCACTGCAGGGCTCCGATCTATGCTCGCCGGAGAGAAGCTGTTACGGGAGGCACTCGCAGAAATGCGGGAGTTGCGGCTGAAGCTGGAAGCAACTGAAGACAGTGGCGCCGCGCGACCTTCCTCCTCCTTCCCGGAGTTGCGCATCTCCTGCACCCAGCTTCCCGGGCACTGTGACTCAGGGAAGCTGCTGAATCTCGCAGCCTACAGAGACGTGGCCCTCAAGAGTGCCCCAAAAAAAACTCTTGTTATGTGTGCTGCGTCAAGGCGCTGCATTGTCGAGACCTGGAAAACCTCCTGGACACGAAATGGAGGGACTTTTTCTCTCCCCTGATCGAGGCCACCCCCCAGTGGAAGCACCTGTACAAGCCCCCCGTAGCAAAACGCTGCGGGGACCTCCAGTGGAGGTTGGCGCACGGACGCTGCCCTTGGCCGTGTGGCTCAGAAAGATCACCCCGGGGTCGTCAGATCTGTGTGTGGCGTTCTGCGGTGCGAAGGAGGATCTGGCCCACCAGTACTTGGGGTGTCCACGGCTGAACCTGATGTTCCGGCTCTTGGGATCCATCTTCAGTAAGCTGGGGGTGCCTTTTTACAAGAGCTTGTTCATATACGGAGTGCCTTCCTGGCAAATAAGCGCCACGATCTTGTTGTTTACAAAACCCGGAAAAAGAAGCTGCAAGGCGACACGGACGATGGTTGCTCAGCGGTGGCGATGTTGAGGGGCCTGCTCAAGGCGCGGCTCCAGCTGGAGCTCGCGTACCACTCCTATGCCGGGGACGTGCCACGCCATGTTCCTTGAACGATGGGGGGCCGGTCAGGCCCTCTGCACCAACACAAACGGTGCACTGAATTTCACGTTTTGACCGGTCGACTTTAAGCGGGCGATGTGCGTGACGATGCGGTGCTTGCATCGCATGTGGCGGTGTGGTGCACGTGCCGCGGTTTTGCGATGTTGCTGTACTCGATGTTGGTGATCCTGTATCAAAAGCGGCTCCAGAGCTATTGCTGCTGATAGCAATAAAATTGGTTTAAAGTATATCTATGAGTCGTCCCTTCTCTCTCTCCAAGTCGTCCTCTCTCTCTGAGTTATCTTTTCTCTCTCTCTCTCTCTGAGTCGTCCTCTCTTTCTCTGAGTCGTCCTCTCTCTCTATTTCAGTCGTCCTCTCTCTCTGAGTCGCCCTATCTTTGAGTCGTCCTCTCTCTCTCCGAGTCATCCTCTCCGAGTCATCCTCTGTCTCTGAGTCGTTCTATCTCTCCCTGAGTTGCCTTATCCCTTCCTGAGTCGTCCTCTCTCTATCTCCGAGTCGTCCTCTCTCTCTCTTAGTCGTGGTGCGTGAGCGGGGTGGTGCGTGAGCGGGGTAGTGCGTGAGCAGGGTAGTGTAATGGGCGAGGTGGTGCGTGAGCCTCTTTAGGGAAACGCCCCCTGTGGTCTGATGGCTTAGCCCAGGGGTCGGCAATCTGCGTCTCCGGAGCCGCGTGCGGCTCTTTAAAGGCTGCTTCGTGACGTCATTTATTAAGGACCCCACCACCGTCTCGTGCTCATCACCACAGTGGCATTGCAGTTCTTGAAATATTGCGAGGGGGTTCACAGAATTCAAATAAAAACGCCTCTTTTTGTTATGTTGGTGACCGAGCCCTGGTCTAACAACACCACTGGACACAGGGCCCCCCTGGTTCGATTCCATCTCCCGGCGCGGCAGTTAAATCCACCCGGGCCCTGTCCAGTCGACAGCAAGAACGGGTTTTCACCACGGTCAGGGTTACGATCATCGGCGGTTCGCACTGCCACCTCTCCCAAGACAACCGGATGAGTGTGGAAGAGTAGGCCGAGAGCGTCCTCTCTGGAAGCGCCCTCTCGTGGAGGCACTGGCGACAGGAGTGGCGCGCGAGAGAGAGGGAGAGAGAGAGGGAGCGACTTTTGACTTTTAAACAACTTTTATTGCCGCCAGCAGCAACAGCACTGATACGAAATACAAAGTCACCAGCAAATAAACAACAAACACTATAAATCCACGCGCCACGCCCAACACAAAAAAGTCACGTGGTGGTGGTCATCGCGCGCCACGGCGACGAGCGAGTGTTTCATAAGGTGAACACCACGAGGGTGCCGTCCACGCTGGTACAGAAAGGGGCTTTTCCGGCCCCCCATTGTTCGAAGAAGACGTGCACATCACCGGCATGTGTGTTGTATGCATGCTCCAGCCGTACTTTGAGCAGGCCCCTGAACACTGGAAGCACAGAGCAGCCATCAGTGTCTCCTTCCAGCATCTTTTTCCTCGTTCTGTACACCGCCATCTTCGCCGATGGCGAGGTCATGGCGCTTGTTAGCCAGGTAAGTCACCCCATATATGAAGCTGCTGTTGTAGAGGGGCACCCCCAGTTTCCTGAAGATGTCCCCCAAAAGGCGGAACATTGGTTTGAGGCGCTGGCAGCGTAAGTACTGGTGGGGCAGATCCTCCCTGGCACCGCAGGAAATGTACAAGTCTGTTACCCCCGGCGAGATTCGGCAAAGCCACACGGTCGATGACAACGTGCAGTGTGTCAATCTCCACTGGAGGTCACCGCAGCGTTTGGCTACGGAAGACTTGTACATTTGTTTCCACTGGGGGGCGGCCGCAATGAGGGGGTAGAAATGGTCTCTCCATTTTGTATCCAGTAGGTCGGCCAGGTCCCGGGCATGCAGCGCCTTGACACAGCACGTGTAGAGCGCTTTTTTCGGGGCGTTCTTCAGGGGCACGTTCCTGCAGCCTCGGAGCTTCAGTAGCTTGCCGGAGTCGCTGTGGCCAGGGGGCTGCGCGCAGGAGAAACAGAGAGAGGGAGATAGAGGGAGAGAGAGCGCACTTGCAGGGCTGCCCCTTTGCCGCTGGTAGTGGGGGTCGCAATGTCCCTCTGCCCTGGGACGCGGGGAGATGAAGGCCATCTCAGCCTCGTCCGGGGGGGATGGAGAGACGAGATGGGTGGGAGGGACAGGAGAGATGGGGGAGACGGGGGGGGTGATGGGGAGGGTGGGGGAGACGGGAGGGATGGGGGAGACGGGGGGCAAGGGGGGGGGGAGATGCGGGAGACGAGAGGTGTGGGAGGGACGGGAGAGATGGGGGAGACGGGGAGACGTTATCTAGATCACAGAGGCTCCCCTGTGTGCGTGTCTCCATGTGTGCGCGATTGTGCGAGTGTTCGTGTGCATGTGTTTGTGTGTTTATGTGTTTGTGTGTTTGTGTGTTTGTGTGTTTGTGTGTTTATGTGTTTGTGTGTTTATGTGTTTGTGTGTGTCTGTATGGGTGTGTGTTTGTGTGTGTGTATGCATGTCTGTATGGGTGTGTGCATGTGTGTTTATGTGTTTGTGTGTATGCGTGTCTGTATGGGTGTGTGTATGTGTGTTTATTTGTGTGTGTGTGTATGCGTGTCTGTATGGGTGTGTGTTTGTGTGTTTATGTGTTTGTGGGTGTCTGTATGGGTGTGTGTTTGTGTGTGTGTATGCGTGTCTGTATGGGTGTGTGCATGTGTTTGTGTGTTTATGCGTATGGGGAGGAGAAGTGCAGCAGCTAGCGCGCTGCGCTACGATTCTTGCTCACGGCCAGCTCGAATGACAAATATTTGAACTGGACCTGGGTCTCCCCTAGATCGACTCAGCCTCAAATGAGTACCCGCTGCAGTGTTTAAAGATCGCCACTGGGCAGACAAAGGCAGTCGCGCGTGGCGCTGGCCACCGACCCCCTCGTGTGCGTTCCAGCCTTCATAGATGCTCGCTAACAGCACTTGCCCCAGCAGTCTGTGAATGGCTATGGGGGATCTTTGTCTTTGTGAGTCTCACACGCTCCGCCTGTCGCTCTTCGTCTTCATCTCTCTCCTCCTCTCCCCTGCCTCTCAATCCCTCTCACCTGCCATTATCTCACTCCCCTGGACTCTCTCCTCTCACTATCTTATTACTCCTCTCTCCCTCCATCACCGCTCACCCCTCACCCCTCACCACCCCTCACCCTCCACCACCCCTCACCCCTCACCCCTCACCACCCCTCACCACCCCTTACCCTCCACCACCCCTCACCCCTCACCCTCCACCACCCCTCACCCCTCACCACCCCTCACCACCCCTCACCCTTCACCACCCCTCACCACCCCTCACCCTCCACCACCCCTCACCCTCCACCACCCTCCACCAACCCTCACCCTCCACCACCCCTCACCCTCCACCACCCCTCACCACCCCTCACCCTCCACCACCCCTCACCCTCCACCACCCTCCACCACCCCTCACCCCTCACCACCCCTCACCCTCCACCACCCCTCACACCTCACCACCCCTCACCCTCCACCACCCCTCACCCTCCACCACCCCTCACCCTCTCCATTCGCACCCCAGGTCCCCGCACGCGCAAGAGCAAAAAGAAGGGAGGAGGCGGCGGCGGTGGCGGTGGAGGAGGTGGAGCAGCAGCAGCAGCAGGAGTAGGTGGAGCAGGGGGAGGAGGTGGAGGTGGTGGTGGAGGTGGTGGTGGAGGCGACGCTCGTGAGGACAAGAGGCCGCGCACGGCCTTCACGGGCGAGCAGCTGTGCCGCTTGCGCGCCGAGTTCCAGGCGTCGCGCTACCTCACGGAGGAGCGGCGCACGGCGCTGGCGCGCGAGCTGCGGCTGAACGAGGCGCAGATCAAGATCTGGTTCCAGAACAAGCGCGCCAAGATCAAGAAGGCGAGCGGCGTGAAGAACGCCCTCGCACTCTACCTCATGGCGCAGGGCCTCTACAACCACTCCACCGGGGGTGCTGGAGGTGGTGGTGGTGGTGCTGGAGGTGGCGCTGGAGGTGGTGGAGGTGGTGTTGGTGGTGCTGGTGCTGGAGGTGGTGGTGGTACTGGAGGTGATGATGCTGGAGGTGGTAGTGGAGGTGGTTGCGGTGGTGGTGATTCAACCATCTCGCAGCAGCAGCAGCAGCAGCGGCAGGAGAAGCAGCAGCAGCAGCAGGGTGAAGGATGCAGCGGGGAGCTGGGAGAGGAGGGAACCCCGGAGCCGGGAGATGGACGTGAGAGCGCGTGAAGCAGGGGAGAGTTCGGGGAGATGGGGAGAGAGCGGGCGGCTGGCTGCGTGAGTCTGCCACTCGCTGCGCCTCACCCACGTGTCTGTGTGCGTGTCTGTGGTGTGTCTATGGTGTGTCTGTGTGCGTGTGTCTGTGTGCGTGTCTGTGTGTGTGTGCGTGTCTGTCCTCGTGTCCGTGTGTATGCCTGTAGTGTGTGTGTGTCTGTGTGCGTGTCTGTGTGTGTGCCAGTGGTGTGTCTGTGTGTATGCCTGTGGTGTGTCTGTGTGTGTGTTTGTGTGTCTGTGTGCGTGTCTGTCCTCTTGTCCGTGTGTGTGCCTGTGGTGTGTCTGTGGTGTGTTTCTGTGTGTGTGTCTGTGTGCGTGTCTGTGTGTATGCCTGTGGTGTGTCTGTGTGTGTGTTTGTGTAGAGAGTAGAAACTCGCCTTCGTATTCGCCCGCGTGTATTCGTTCGAATGCGTCTGTGCGTGTGTTCTGTGTATGTACGTGTGTATGAGTGTAGGTGTGCGTTAGCCTTGTGTGTGTGTACGCGTGTAGTGGTTAGCGCTACGCCGCGCTACATACCCGGCGGCCCGAGTTTGATTCCCATTCACGGCCAACACCGGTGACGGTTATATGAACCGGTTCCGGGCCTCCTCTAGGTCGACTCAGCATCAAATGAGTACCTGGTGCGGTGTGTAAACATTGCCACTGGGGAGACAAAGGCGGCCGGGTGTGGTGTTGGCCACCCCCTCGTGTGCGGTGCCGACCTTCATAGGAGCTGCTCGCTAACAGCACTTGCCTCTACAGTCTGTTAAGGCTATAAGGGGTATATTTGTCTTTGTAGGTGTGTATGCATGCATGTATGTGCATGTATCTGTGTGTATGTATGTGTGTATTTAGGAATATGTGTATTTAGGTGTGTGTGTGTATGTATGTGTGTGTATGTGTGTTTGTATGTGTATGTGTGTAGGTATGTGTGTTTATGTGTGTGCATGTGTGTGTGTATGTGTGTAGGTATGTGTGTGTATGTGTGTAGGGATGTGTGTGTGTGTGTGTTTGTAAACTAAAACGAGAACCCGACCTCGTGAAGATATCGACACAATGATCACGGGAACGACGCATCCCATTATTCCTCTTCTCCCGAGTTCCACCGCACCCCCCGCCCTCCGCCCCTCCCGTCTCCCACCGAGATTCCTGGGGAATCATTCATCACAATCTCAATTATTGATCTCTGTTTGGGCGATTCTGCCGACACGCTGTACCTGTCTCAACGCACCAGCATCAAAGCGTCCCTCTCCTAACAGGACCACATCGTCTCTACTGAATGCCCTCGAATAGGCGCCCAGTGTTTGGGTGGCGATCAGCGGTCTTAGGGCTTTGCACGGTCGCGCTCAAGGACAAAGAATATATTGGGAGTATCACGGTCATTTTACGTTGAGTTGCCTGGATCAATTTATCCAGAGCGGCGGGACGCTGCTGCTGCTGCTGATGATGATGATGCAGATTCTCACTCCCTCTTCCAAATGTTACCTCGGCTCCACGTTGCCAGGAAGACGAGTCCGATTTTGAGTGAGACAACGGTGCCCGCAGAAGAGGAGCTGACAGAACTACTAGCGGTGCCCCGATTTCAATCGCCTCTTACCCCCACCGAGACGAGGTCCGATGGGGGGTGGGCGGGCGCTCGACTGTGGGGGAGCTCGGCTCAGCGGAAGTTCGACTCGGACACAAAACACCGCGTGCGCTTCACTCGCAGTTCGGATTCATCGGAATTTGTCAACGGGGGATTCCCGATGGCTTCTTGTGCGGTCTGGGCGAGCGGCGCGAGAGAGCACCGAGCACACCGTCCTGGTCACCCACAGGGGCTGTGACACTCGGCCTGGAGCCCAGGCCTCAGCGGCGGGTGGCTCAGCGAACCTGACACGGCCACTGTGAACTCGTGGTGGCCGTGGCAGGTCACGCAACCGAACTAACAAGTAGAGTCATTTTTAAAAATTCTAATTCGGTAAACAACAACAACTCAATATTGCAAGAGCCGCAATGCCACTGTGGTGACGAGGACGAGACGGTGGTGGAGGTCCTGAATAAATGACGTCACAAAGCAGTCTCTCAAGAGCCGCACGCGGCGCCGGAGCCGCCACCCAATGGGCGACGAGCTTCGCCAACTGAAACAGTCGCAACATCATAGCCCTCACTCTCTCAAGAGATCCCTCGCTCTTATCGCCTCTCGCTAGGATCCATCTCCCTCATTACTCCCCTCACTCTCTCCCACGCTCTCCCTCTTCCTCCTGCTTCCTCGTTCCCCCTCCCTCATTCCCTCTTTTTTTACGATCAGAGGAAACAAGAAGATGCTCGGTGTAGTCGGCACTTTGCTTCGTTCATCATTTCGTTTTCTTTAGTTTTATTTTAACGCTTTGCTTCATGTAACCTCCCCCCCCCCCCTTTTTAAATGAAAGATTTCACAAAATATTTCTCGTTCTCTACCCCCTTTCTCCCTACTCCATGTCTATGTTCCCCCTATGTTTTCTATGTAATATTTGTAATATTTTTAATATATCTTTTACGAGAAGTGCTGCATCTGCACCCAGCCCTTCTCGCAGTGCTACGGCCTCTGACGTGTAGCTCATCTCTGCTCTCTCTCCCTCTCTCTCCCTCCCCCTCATTCCCTCCCCTCAATATCTCGCCCTCTCTCTCCCCTCTCCCCGCCTTTCTCTCTCTCTGTAGTAGAATCCAATAATCGATAATGCGCGCGTAACGACGAATAGATCATTCATCGATCCGTTTAAGCTCACCTTGGAACTCTCCTAATATCGTGCGCTCTATCTGAATCTATTCATAGATCCTTCGGGCGTAATCGATTCGCACCCCTCCCCCACTAAATTCCGAGCAATGTGGGGGGGGGGGGTTCAGTGAATCGATAAGTCGATTTAAGTTGCGCCTCAATCGTGATTGCTCGTGGCCTGTTGGCGAGGCAGGCAAAGTGTCAGGTGATCATCTCTGCGCGTGAATCGCGATTCCAATCCCGATTATCTCCCTCTGTGTGTCTATGTGTGGGGTTTGAGTTTCCTTGCTCCGATTTCCTCCGACACGTTCAAATGCACGCACGCACTCATTTATTAGATATATAGAGAGAGAGGATCGCAGAGCTCGGGCAATGGTTGGTGAGCACTGGCTCTTTACTGCCCGGCTGCTGCTGCTGCTGATTCCTCTGCGAGTGTGAAAGAGATGCAATTTGCGTGGATATTTAAAACTGGTGCGTGGATGACGTCACCGCGCACATTTGCGTGATGACGTTAAGCCAGGTGCGTGTATCGCGCTGACGTCATCACGTCCCTTCCCAGTGCCAGTGTGAGGGACACGAAGGCGGAGCACCTGCAAGTGCTGGCGGAAAGCGCCCCTCGCCGACAGAGGGAGCTCCTGGGAGGTCCCTCTGTCCAGAGTTCCCTCTCCTCGACAGAGTTCACTCTCTAGAGTGAGAGAGTTGAACTCTCCTCTAGAGAGTTGAACTCTCCCCTAGAGAGTTCAACTCTCCTCTAGAGAGTTCAACTCTCTAGAGGAGAGTTCAACTCTCCTCTAGAGAGTTCAACTCTCCTCTAGAGAGTTCAACTCTCCTCTAGAGAGTTCAACTCTCTCGAGGTTCAACTCTCCTCTAGAGAGTTCAACTCTCCTCTAGAGAGTTCAACTCTCCTCTAGAGAGTTCAACTCTCCTCTAGAGAGTTCAACTCTCCTCTAGAGTTCAACTCTCCTCTAGAAAGTTCAACTCTCCTCTAGAGAGTTCAACTCTCCCCTAGAGAGTTCAACTCTCCTCTAGAGAGTTCAACTCTCCTCTAGAGAGTTCAACTCTCCCCTAGAGAGTTCAACATCTCCTCTAGAGAGTTCAACTCTCTCGAGGAGAGTTCAACTCTCCTCTAGAGAGTTCAACTCTCCTCTAGAGAGTTCAACTCTCCTCTAGAGAGTTCAACTCTCCTCTAGAGATGTCCCTCCTCCATTTCATGTACTTAGGGACGTGCTGCTGACCTGACTGTTGTTGTTGTTGTTGTCGTTGTTTCGGGGTCGTTGTTGTTGTTGTTGTTGAGATTTTGGTTTATTTTCTGCTGTGCTGGACGCGAGACGATGATGAATCGATTCCATGCGTTGAGTCGCGCGCGGTGCGATCGATTCTTTCCTGATTATGCAAACTGCTCGCGAGTGCGACCTGGGATCTTGCAGAACTAACGAGGCTGAACAAACGATACAGAACAAACGATACAAAACAATACTAACGATACAGAACAAAGGAGATGGAACAAAGGAGACGGAACAATTCAAACGAGACAGAACAATACAAACGAGACAGAACAATACAAACGAGACCAAACAATACTAACGAGACAGAACAATACTAACGATACAGAACAAAGAAAATGGAACAATGGAGACGGAACAATACAAACGAGACAGAACAAAGGAACAATCGAGACAGAACAATACAAACGAGACAGAACAATACAAACGAGACCAAACAATACTAACGAGACAGAACAATACTAACGATACAGAACAAAGAAAATGGAACAATGAAGACGGAACAATACAAACGAGACAGAACAAAGGAACAATCGAGACAGAACAATACAAACGAGACGGAACAAAGGAGATGGACCAAACGGGAGGGATATGTTCTATTCATGGGTCCAATGACGACTTCGTATTGTGAACTTTTACGGTTTGGGTGTGGGGGGAGGCTGGGGAGCGTGGGGGGAGGGATGTGGATGGGGTTGGGGTGTGTGGGGGGAGGGGTGTGGGGGGAGGCTGGGGGGCGTGGGGGGGGAGAGGCTTTCGAATCCCACGAATGATGTCACTATCCTGGATTCTCTCTTGGATCGAATCAGTGGAATGGCGAGACAGATGAGCAGACGCACAGTGCAGGGACCGTGTCCCTTACTCATCCCATCAGCCGAGCTTCCGGGAGTGGAAGGAAACTGTCAGAGCCACTGGCTCAACACGAGCACAACTCTGGACTGGGAATCGACGTTCAGTGTCTCATCAGCAGTGCCACGCGCGCTTCTTTTGAGGCCACTCCGAGGCGAAACCAACCCGCCATGAAGCCAGCGAGACCGCGCCTCGCCGTCTCTTCCTTCCTGCTGCCACATCCCACGCACCGCCTCCTCCTCGTTTTCTTCTGCCCACTGAGATGGGATGGAGGTGGGGGGGCTTGGGTGACGCCCCCCCCACATCCCCCTTCACCATCCACGACATCCAGGACTCGTCGCAATGTGCCTCGCCGCCGAGTCTCAACAATCTTTTTCAGGAGCGTCGTTCCCAGGTTTTGTCGCGGTACGTGGGGGTTGATGCTGCTGCTGAGTCATTAGCGGCGCACTTCGTCCGCATTTGTGGATGTTTGGCCACTACCGGTCCACATTGGGAGTGGCTGTTTGGGTTTCGCTCTGCGAGGAGGAAAGCGGAGAACCCGGAGGAAACCACCCGTGCAGGACGGGGGAGACTGTCCACACTGCACACGGAGAGTCGGGGATCGAACCCAGGTGCTTCTTGCTGTGGGCGCGAGTGTCACCACTGCCGCTCCACTCTCAACCACGCTCACCCCAGGGACCCTGATGTCATCGACCGTATGGCCTCATCGTCTACGGAGTTGACCGAATGACCCACAAGCAAACCCCCCCCCACCCCACCCACCCCACTCACTCATAACACCAACCCGACCCCAATCACCCCACCCCACCAACCCCACTCACTCACCCCACCCACCCCACTCAC